CTGACACAATTGGCACTGGTCCATCATTCCCCACTCAGCTGGGGTGAAGCTCCAGGGCAGGGTGTGAAGAGGGGCCGCCAGCTGTGCTCTCTGCCAGCAGGTCCCCTTCTGCGCCTGCCAGGGTTCCGCACGACATCCACACCAATGGGCAGTAGTAGGGGAGGTCAGCTTCCCCTTTGTCTGCCCAGGGGTCCACTCTGTTAGCTCCAGGGACCCTGCCACCTCCTCAGCCATCCCTCCAAAAATAAAACATGGCTTCTGTGCCTAAACAGTGTCAAAGGTAACCACTTCTCCGTGCCGTCCCCAACTTCTCCTGGAATAACGCAGGAGCCTCCTAACAGTCTCAGGGAATTTGTCCTCCTCTTCCAAGTGTTCCACGTCACCTGAGGGCTCACCCCCCCATGCCTACATGCAAACATGWGTGACCCTACCTGTCCCTAGAGCCCCTGGTGGCCCCTGTCTGCCCTCGGGAGGAGGCCTAGGCCTTGCCGAGGTCTGGCTGCCCTGGGTGATCTGCTCTCCGCGCAGGGTCACACTCCTCCTGCCCGAGGTGACCTCCTGGTGGTGGCTGCGTGGGTCCCCGCTCATCTCCACAGGAACACGAGCACATTGTTCTTTCATGTGCCCACAGACTGGCTCCGGGTACTTTCCTTCCTCACTCTTCCGCTCGTTTTGAAAGTTCACGGGTGGCGGGACCCGGGATGGGGGGCTCTGGAGCTCAGGAGCCYGCGGGCTTCAGAGGTGAATCTGACMCAAGCCCGTTCCTGGGTGAAGGCGGAGAGCTTGTCTCTCACCCCCGTTCTGTGACTTTTCAGGATGCYGTGACCCAGCCGGGGGCAGCCCCCAGCCCACGACTTGGGCACCCAGCCTGGTGTCCGGCCAGCAGGAGTGGGGGCAGCTACACTTCCACACAGGGCCAGGGCTGGGGAGGGCCGGTGGGTCAAGGCCAGGCAGGTGCAGGGTCAGGTCCTGTGACGGCTGAGTTGTGGCCCCTCCCCACCCCAACGTGGCCCCCAGGTTACTTGGAAAAGTGATTAAGGTGAACGAGGCTGCTGAAGAGGCCTGCTGCTATGTCCTCATGTCCTTACGAGATCAGGACACAGAGGGACAAACTTGTGAGGACACAGGGAGCCCCAGAGGGGCCTTGGGAGGAGCCAGCCCTGCCTGACCTTGACKTTGGACTTTGGTCCTCAGAGCTGAGAGCTAAGGTGTTGCTGACCGGCCACCTCCCTGCYGTGACAACCCCAACAGACTAACACGCCTCGTCATTTACAGTTCTGAGATTCTGTTCATCGTGGACATTGTCGGCATTCATTTTGAATTTGAATTTAATTTTATTTGAATATCATCTAGCTTGGCAACAGAGGTTTTKGGTGCTCTTCCCCCTCACCCTTCATTTTCTGCTGGGATATAGAATAYGTTCAGGGTTTCAAAATGCGTCACGCAACTGTGGCAACTGGGCTCACCCTGTGAGGTTTGGGGAGAGATTTTGGTGGGACTGGAGGGGACCCAGGCCTTGGTGGTCAGGGCCCACATGTAAGCCTCGGGACATAAAACTTGTACCTTATTTTCCCAAGAGTCTCTCCCTGCCGTAAATTAGGAGATGAAACATCCGAGTCTCACAAACTCACCCCAACAAGTCCCTCTCAGCTCGGGATGAAGCTGGTGTGGGGAGACTGCAGTTCGATAAGAATCTAGAAATTCTTGGACCTTAGAACACCTGGTCAACGAGGGACGGAGGAGCGGACATTCAGAATGGGGACCTGGGAGTGAGGAGAGCGGGTCCCAGCCCCATCTCCATGGTACAGAGAATAGCATCATGGCCGCCGGGGGTAGTGTGACGCTGGAGCTCCGGCTGGGCTGTCTGTCAGCCCGGACTTGACATCTCCTGACATTCCACAGAAAACTCAGATTTAAAAATTCACTGGGTCCTCTCCAGGTGCCAGAACATCGAGGGGCGGGGACCATAAGCGCATCAGTGGCCCAAGGGGCAGGAGCCCCACGGGGTGGGGGGTGTCCAGACTGCACTGTGGGGCTCAGGGGCCTCAGTCCCCGCTGCCGGCCAGCCCTGGTCCTGYACCTCTTCACTCAGCAAGCCTTCAGGAAGCTCCTTCCGTGGTGGGGACGGTGGTGCAGCCCTCCGGGCTGACCTGGACTTGATTCCCAGTTCACTGTGGGGACGGGTCTATACAGCATCCTGCTTAAGCACTATCATAAAGGAAAGTCGGGAGCCTTGGGGGACAAGTGGCATCGGGGTTGAACTGGAGGTTCGGGGAAGCTCTCCTGGAGGTGACGATGCCACTCAGAGCCCTGGGGACAGGGCAGGGTGTGGGCAGAGAGGAGGCTRGACTCCCTGGTGGCGTGGGGGACCACGTCTGCACTGTGCCCTTTGTCCAGGGCCTGCGCTGGCTGCAGCCCAGGACCCAGATCGACCGGCAGGCGTCTCTGTGTGGTGGGTGACTGTGTTGAATGCGTCCTGCAGAGGAGGGAGGGAAGGAAGGAAAGGCCACCATGGGAAGTGGGAAGGAGGAGCTCCAGGGCCGCGCTCCCGGAGGAGGGAGTGTTCAGTGTCAGGAGCCGTCCCTGGGTTGCCTGTGGGTCACCACACATGGAAGCCTTGTGGATAG